GATAGGAAATATGGGCAGAGAAAGTAGATTTCAGACAGGAGTAGATAATTGACCCTCCTCAACACACACAAAACTTGTAGCAATTATTACAATACTTCTGGTGGTTCCAATGGATAGTGACATGAAAATCTATACAGATAGTCAGACCTGTATTTTCAAGTGAAAAACAATAGAAAGAGAAGATTCAAAGCAAATTCACAAAAGATGGTTAAAGGAAAAAAACTGGTTTTTGTGGGTATGAATGTTAGAATTGATAAAAAAAAAAGATCATAAACCTGCAACTTGTCAAAGTTAAGGTACATTCCAATGATCCTTACAATGAAGAAGCAGATGTCCTAGTCAAAGAAGCTCTGAAACTCCCAACAATAGAATAGAAAGAGTTGACCTCATACAAGATCATTACAGAAATTAGATGGCAAGAAAAGACACTGGACAATCCAATAAGACAGTTTGTCAAAAAAGTAAACAATAAAACAACTGCCTTCTAGTGGACACAACAAAACAGAACCCCCAAAAAATGGAATCATCAAATTATAGAACAGTAAGATCATACTTGAGATCTATATAGGAAAGAATGAAAGAAGGACACATCTGGAACACTTCCTTTAAACAATCACAGCGAAAAAGCTTTCTTATAAAACTAATGAATGACGAGTTACCAACTCTGAACAAGCTGACAATTAGAAGGCCCAATCTCTATAAACAAGTGAAGTATATTGCATGCAGCTAGCAAAGTGAAACTTTCAAACATTTACTAGAGTATCCAGCATATAAAAAACAATTACAGGAAGCATGGAATAAAGGACAAGACAGGATCTGTAGAGATTTTAGAGGGCTTTTACAAGAGAGGAAAAAAGAGGCAGAAGAAAAATATGCAAGATTAATTATCCATAAGGAAGAAAAAATGGTCGAATTGGATAAATGGATCTCTAAACTGGTAGAACAGATCTCAAAAACCAGTCAAAACACTCTAAGCTTTTGCATAGGGCTAATAAGGAGAAACTTAATCCTAGAAATGGTAGATCTGAAATGCCATGAAAAAAGAATTGGTAATAAAGCAAGAAAATAGATGTCAAAGATGCAGAGAAGAGTATGCAATCAAATAAGGAAAAAGATTTGGAACAAAAGATGTGAAAAGATAATCGAATGGAAACATTCACAGGAGATTCACAAAGTAGAAAAAATCAATTGATCCTTAGGTACACACAACTTAAAACCATTAGTTCCCAAAAGTAAAAATTCTCTACTAGAGGAAAGAATTCAAGAAAATGAAAGCCTGAAAGAAATTCTACTTAAAGATGTTATTTATAAAATAAAGTGGTTGGGTTTTAAGCTTGGTTAGAACAACAGATAGTGATCCGCAGTAGTGATCTGCAGGCAATGATGTTAAGGGTTGGAAGAGTATTCACCTGAACTATTAACAGAGCGATAAATCATTCCCAAAGTTACACTTAGAGTTTTGGTATATTAAGACAAAACAATGATGAGTAAGTTAGGTAAAGTCTTAGCTTTAGCGAATTATTTAAAATGTAAAGTATACAAATGTTTAATAAAGCACACGTATCTAGCCTGACCTAGAGTTTAAAAAAAAATAAAAATAAAAATAAGTTTAATAATATATATATAATCAATCTAATAGAGAATAAAATGATAATAATAATAATCAAGAACTTTATTTAATTATGAAAAATAAAAATAATATAAAATATTTCAATTAATTTTAGTATTAAGGTCATTTTGTTATATAATGGTTTTTTTTAGTTTTAATAAATAAATAAAGATTTGTACTATAAAAATAAAAGATAATTAATATTATATTTAAAATATAGTATTATAATCTACTGTATTTGAGACTTTATATTATTATTTTATAAACAAGTTATAAGAAATATAATAAAAATAATATTTAATAAAATGAAATAAAATAATATTAAAAAAATCTTAATATTAGTTAAAGATCTTAAAAGTATAGTGAAATACGAGTGTAAAAAGTTAAAATATTGAAATTTTTTTAGCAACATATTACGATGCCTCAAATATACTGTATAAAACTTTGCAAAACTGGTTTAATTGTAAACTGTGAAAATTTTTGATTATATGGTATTGAGATATAGAATTATTCTATATTATAATAATATATAATACTATATAATTTAAATTTAAATTTAAATCCCAAATTTATATATTTGAATCTACTGCATTAACTATATTATTAATCGTTAATTGTATCTATCATTCAGTATAAATTAAAAATGTAAATGATAAAGAAAATATAGTGTTCCGGACTTACAATGGCCAAAATTTTCAACTAATAGCCGGCCATTTTTTTTAAAAAAAAAAAAAAAAAAATTCAAGAGATAATATTATATTGTATGTGTAAAAAGAATTTTTCCTTATTTGTGACAGAAATGGTTATTTTAAACTTATTGATTTTAAATTATTGCTGTAGAAAACGAAATGTGGAATATTTTCCTTTCGCTTTTTTCTATTCAATGTAATTTTCTTTAAAAGTGGTAGCCAAGAACCAATAAAGAATTTTTAAAGAATTTTTATACAGTGTGATAATGGTGTTTCTACATTTCATGCGATTCATCCCACACAAATTATCTTTTAAAACGTATCGACAAACAATTCCATCACTGATCAAATAATTTGCAATTAAAAAAAAAAATAAACCAGATTCATTTTTCATTCGAATGACGATCACCAAATACGCTCTTTAAAAAAAAAAAAAAATAAAGATTTCTATTAGATTAAAGTAAAGTAAAATAAAAGTCATGTGCAGTAAATATGTACCTCTGTATTTAAGTTGCATTTAAAGAAAAAATTCCAAGAAATTTGTTATTCACAATTTTTTTCCTATTTTTAAATTAGTCGATTTTTTTTTGCGAGTTGCCATCTGCCATTCATCCATCATTCATTCATTAAAAAAAAAAAAAAAAAGAATTCAATTCCTCCAAATGAAACTCGAAATATAATGGTACTGTCGGTGAATGAGAGATAAAGCGTTTCCATGTTGGCAAACAAATTTACCCTTTTTCCATACGAGGATGGATTGCTTGTAGGAAATGGAAGAGGGTGCGACGTCCCTTTGATCAAAAATGGAATCAACTATTTCCGGGTGCGTGCGCAGCAACAATCACGTAGAAAAGGTTTACCCCGATATATGTATGTATATTTTGATATCAAGATAGCTAGCTAGTGAGTGACACAACAGTGAAAGCTTATATGCGTTTGGTTTTTTTTGTGGAAAGATAGCACGATAAGTTTTTTCTAAAATTATTCTTTTTGATACGTAGCGTGCATCAAATATTTGTCGACCATTGCTTATTTTTTTTTTTTTTGTGGTCTGATTTAATGGACGACTAGGAGTCACGAAGAAAAGCGCCATGGCGATTACTATTGCATTTATCGCATTTGCATTTCACGGTGATGCGTTCCGGAAGTATTCGCTGGTTGCATCTTCCGGATGGGGTGAAACATCGAGCAATGTGTAAATGAACCCAAACTCTTTGTTTGTATCCGTGTTCTGCAAACAATGATCTAATAAGGTTTTTCGTGAAAGAAAGAGGTCGGAGGGTACACACGTTGAATTTAGTCGAGGATTTACTTTTTGACCAACCTTTGCTTTGTGTAAGAAGAAATTTTGGTCGATTCTTGAGCACAAGGACATGATAAGCGTAGGTCCTTGTTGCGCGCAAATAAATATTATGATACTGCAAGTTTGTGAAATGGAGGATGGGAAATTTTCATCATTCAGGAATCATTGGAAGTTTCCCGCGTTTCATATTTTAAGAGACGGTGATACATACGTACGTACAGTATATACGCACGTCATCAACGCGTGGAGGAATAATGCCAACAATCAAGAATGGCTAGCCAACAGTGATCAAAAAGCATTCGATTATTCTTGATCATTGTTAATATTGTTGCCGCATATGGGTAACATCTCTTAATCTGCAATGTCAATTATTTCGCATTCGAATTTAAGTTTTGAAGTTCATTCGCACTATTAAGAATTCCGGAAAAAGGGTAAGAAGGTGAAAGGTTTTTGGAGGCGAATGAAGCAAAAAAGATGATCGGCGGCGGTTCGGGAACCTCATCGTCCGACGGAAGTACACATCCGTGGTTGTTGCTGCTTTGTGAATCTTTGAAACAAAGAAACCTGCAAGCATGTATTTGTTTTTTACATATATTTTTTTTTTTAATCGTTAGTCATCCTAAAATTTCATTGGTGACCGGTGTTCCGAATGAGACAAAGACGAGCTGCCGATGTTCACACTGACAACGAAACAACGACGCAGCAACAACAACGTATGAAAGACATGGCAAACTAGGACACTCGCACTTTGTTATTTTTAAAAAAAAAATTATCTTTAAAATTTATTTGCTTTTTTGTTTTGTTTCGATTTTTTTTTTTTGCTCGAAACATTCTTAGTTATTACAGCGTAATATTGGGGTTATTACTGTTAAACTACCAGAACAGTAAAGTTTTACTTTTTTTTTTTAATTACATTATGCTATGCAATAAAAAAAGAAAAAAAAAATTAAAAAAAAATTTTTAAGCTAACGAAAGATCAATTTCGTTACAAAAAGTCTATGCGAATAATCATGTAGAGAGGGAAGATTTTGTTTTTTTTTTTTTTCCCTGATTCCGAAAACCCAAACCTATATAGTAACGTTGGTGAACGTTGTTGTAGTTCGCCCACGAGTTTTGCAAAAAAATGCTTTTGCTGCTTAAAGTAAATAATTTTGTTGATATTAAGTTTGGGCATGAGAATCTAAAGGAAAACCCGAATTCTATGTTCTGTACAAAGAAAGTAAAAAAAAAAGGAAAAAAAAAAAAGAAAAAAAGAATGCATTTATATTACAATTGCAAGGAAGAAGAAAAACGACTACTAAATTAAAGATGAAATGATTAAGAAAAAAAAGAACGGATGCAGAATATTTATTCGTCCTTTTTTTTTTTTTTTGTCGAATGTGTGCTGGAGTTAAAGTATTTACAAGGCGGTTCCGATTTTGGACGTTAATTTCTTATATTTCTCTTTCAGTTTTAGTCCACCAAACTTCTGTTTCCTTCCGTTCTTGGCGCTCCGTCGGAATACTCCGTTTTGAAAATGCGAAACGCCAGGACTTGAAGGTGAAGAATTATCGGATTCTTCTTGACTTTCGCTTTCGCTGGACATTCGCAGTTCAACGTTTCCCGCCTCCACGAGGAATTGCGAGAAACATGAACCCTGCATCAACTCGAACACATGATTGTTTACCACTTCGAGTATTGAAGGGTCGTAATTATTGTAAGAGAATACGTTCGTTAATAAATCTTCTCGCACCGATGACTCGATGTTAATTTCCTTGGGCGAGTTTGGTAAAATGAATGTGGTGATTATTTCGTGGAGTTTCTGTTTTATGAATTCGCTGTGGGCCGGTGCGTCGCCGCGCAAGACGGCATCATCATACAACGTATCACTGGGTAGTAGTAAGTCGGGTTCCGACAAGAGAGAGGGGAGGGAGGCATTCGGGTTGAAGAAATTGTGAGCGTAGTATTTATATCTACGAGAGGCCAGCCAGAATTCCAGGTTTTCTAGACAGTAGGTTTGATCTAAGAATGTGGCAAAGTCGTCTAGAGAGTATGGATAAGATGTCTCGTTGTTGAGAACGTCAATAAGAGTTGGTTTTGTTGTCATCGCAATGATTATTTGTCAACTTTGATGATGATGATGATTATTGATTGATTAGAGTAGCTGAGAAGAGTGAGATACAGTTAAATATTGCTTGCTCGTGTGCGTGTATATGAGTGAGTATCTATGTATCTAATATTTGCTTTTTCTTTTAAAAAAAAAAAATGAGAAGACAAGATGAAACTGTTGAATGTTTGATTATTTTTTTTTTTTCAAACTTGGTGAGGCAACTCAAAGGAATGATGGGGGATATTTATAGGTATGCGTCGAATGAGAAATTCCCGTTTTAATATTATCATATAAATTATAAAGTACTACTTTGAGACAATCAGTTGATTGAGGGTAGTTTAAAAAAAAAAAAAAAACCATCGTCATCTATGAAATCACTAATTTGATTTACGATGTACAATTTTGGCTTATAAAAAAAATTTTTTTTTTTTTTTTTAAATACTTTCACTGATTATACATACTGATGAATTTATATTAGAGTAGTATGTATTAAAACAGTATATATAATATATACATACAAACAAACATACATATATATATATACATATTTTTTTTTATTTACGATAGCACATATGGCATAATGGATGGCACGCGGTTGAGGACTTTTTTTTTTGGCCCCAGATGTCACCAAAAGAATGAAATGAGGTAATTAATTAAAATTCTCAGTAGATGAAATGGCCGAGTGACACCTGGGGATAAAGAAATGAGGTGATGCAAGGTTACGACAAAGGAGCGAGCAACAAAAGGCCTTTCCTCCTTCAACTCACAAACAAAGAACATTAGCTCACTAAGACGGGAGATACTGTATGTCTCCCATTGTAAAGGTGACACCACCAATCATCAACCAATATACGACATTGCTATTACATGTGTAGGTGACACGCACTTACATCAGGCGTTCTCGCCCTGCACCCGGAGGCTAGGCTAGGCTTCCTCGGTGAGCAAGACCAAAAGGTTTCCCGATCGACTATGTCGTGTAAAGTGAAGAAGAAAAAAAAAAAAAATTCGCAGCATGCAACAGGGGATAATGAATCTCGACCATTCCTCATTCTTAAGGTTTCACAGGTGACACACGGCACACATTTTAATGGTATTCAAGTAAATTTGCCTTTTGAATCGAGAATCCATGGACATCACATCTCCTCTCCACCCAAGCCATTCAGTGTAAATATTTATTTGCACAAAAGGTCGGGAATCCTACGAACTTGCACGGACCGGTGGACCACGGGTGATAAATATTGACGACTTTTATGTTTACGATTGTTCATTTCGGACTTGTCTTTACAATATTAATTACGATTATTATTATTATTGTTGTTATTATTATTAAGTACAGTGCACACAGTGTGCGTGTGTACCGTCAGTGAATGAGCCTCGAACAGAGTAACCAATCACGGATGAGTGATGAACGCATAAGAAAAAAAATTTTTAAAACAAAGGGAAATCGTAAAAGACATTGTTTTCGATGTGCATGTCACCCGCTAGTGTTCCAAATCCAGTTACTCTTGTCTTCATCTATAAACAGAAATCGTGAAGAATACATTACGGAAGGATTTTCATGGTGGCGGTGTGGTTGGTGTTTGGTGCGGCCGCTGACGTTTAACGCGGAAAAAGGAAAAGACCTTTCCGAATGTTTGTATGCCGTCCCCATCTAGCATCCACGTTATCATCTTGTACTTTCCATTGTGTCCTGTCGGAAGAGGAACGGGATGAAGTCGGATTTTTTTTTTTTCCTCCCGAAAAATACGAATCACGCCACATCGATACTGCGAGTACCTCGAAGGTATTCAAAGGTTTCCGTGTTTCGAGATGGCTGAAAACGGGACTGGCATCTTCATCGTCAAGGGTGAAGGCGTGTGCGCATGTCAACAAATTGTTCCCATTTCCGGCGTCTCAATAGCATCAATTGCGCAAGCCGATTGTGAGGCATGGATTCAAGGTTTTCATTCTAAACTTCCTAATCCCAATCACCATTTTCGATTGGGTTTCTATCGCGAAGGTGGAAATGGTGTAATATTAATTACGCGGTCCCATTAGTCGGATGATTCGGTTAAATGGCGAATGCGCTTCCGAATAAGGTATCACAATTCAGCGGAGAAGTTCTGAGAATAGAACATTCAAGCCTTCAGCATCAAATGTACAGATCGTCCGGTGGGTTGCCAAACGAAATCCCGAAACATCATTTATGGAGTGTAAAAACCGTTGCACATGATGCGTTCTAGCTAAAAAAAGATGAAACGCTTTTGCTTGTACAACACAAACAAATGGGGGATCCTTTTCTTTTTTTTTCGGGTGGCACGGAGGGATAGCAAACAAAACCTCGTGCATAAGAATGTGGCGCGTGTCTGAAACGTGGTTTGTGCGATGGTAGGGTAGCACCCACTCAAAACCCCATTCTACTCGTTTATCAGGCATCGAGCCGGTCTGGACCTTTGTTAGACAGGTCCGGATGTATCCTTGAACTTAACGCCCATTACGACATTGCTCTCGCAAGAAAAGGCAATTTTTCATTAGTGGCCAAGCCCCCAAGTCATTCATGGCACCGGGAAAAGAAAAAAAAGATAACGTATCAGATAAGAATCCACAACAATACCTATCGTTATGCAACGTGTCATCACACTCGCCGTTAACTCTTTCCCCGCACATTTTTTTTTTTCCCGTTGCACCATTCATTATACCTCATATTATCGATCACATCGATTACCTGTTTGTTGGCTATCTCTCGTTTCTAGACGACTGCATGGTGATATTGTTGGTGGGAAAAAAAAAAAGTTCTTCCCAAAGGAAAGTTGTTTTGTGCACAAAAACCTTATGCACCAAGTCAATCGAGACTTTATCGGAATATCAGATGAGCATGAGAGAAAAAAAAAGAAACGATTGCACGCATTCTACGGGGATGTGAAGTGGAGCGAGAGGGCGAGAGAAAAGAAAAACCCACCATCAATCATCTGCAATGAGCAAACAATGATGTAAGAGGATAATACTGTAAGTAAAAAATACGAGGATTCTAATATACCGACTTTTTTCCCTCCACTGTTCAGTTCTTGCAGGTGTGGCACAACGAGGCATGTTGGAAATTCTTGAACATGAGATTTCCCCACACTTGTTAATTAATGGCTAGTCCCAAGATCTGATGATATTCCTTTATGGACACCTGACCAAAACTTAAATTGACAGAGGATTGCTTTGGAAAAAATGCGACATAATTAATTCTCTGGTGATTAGAAAAAAAAATTTTTTTTTTTGATGGTATGACTGATATCCGGTGTTCAAACTGGTTCATCGATGATTTTGTAAAATTTTAAGGCGAACGACATGAGACAATCACCAACTCCTTTGAGGCACGATTTGCGACCATCTTTGTTAAACGAGAAGAGAAAAAAGGCAGGTACTCGACTCGTTGTTTTGTAAATATTGACACACGGAAAGGGAGTTCACGGTTGGACAGTGATACGTGATGACTGGTACGTGGGTTGGCGGGTCCCAACGCTTTCCGTGAGCAACCATGGTGTGTGAAAACAAGGTTCCGAAAAAGAAAGAGAAAAAAAAAAAAGGATGCTTACGCGAAGTGGCCTGAGCCACCTTGAAATCCACTTGTCATTTTTTCCAAGTTCATTGTCAAATATTGGCGATAAAAAATTTCTGCATTCGTGCATACCTATTGTTCGTCGTGATCCTAATAATGATTGACATTTTTTTTTTTTTTTTTTGCAATAATTGCAAGTCGAAAAATGAATGAACGCGCATCAAGGAAAAAAAAAAAAGAAAGAAGAAGAAAAGAACGGTGTCACCGCGCACGTTTAACCGAATTCGTCGTCGGCTGAAATATTCAAACCATCACTGAATTCCTTTTTCCAAACCAAATTTTCACCCACAATCTCCGGATTTGGACTCCATTAACTCAATGAATAACCAGCCCATGTACGCACGTACATACAAGGCATACATACACTTTCCTTCGGGTTTGGTTAATGGTTACGCGTGGTATGGTCGAAAATTTCTTAGATTACAGTATGCCTTTTTTTAAAGGCATCCCATAGTATGACCTTATTTAAACTTATTTGGAAATGCGCATATGATTCTTCTCTGCAGTGCCCTGTAGGTCATTGGGAGGTGCATATGGGTCATTCCCTCGCTCTCTATCTCTCTCTTTTTTTTTTTTAGGCGACACAGCAAATAAATAACTCGGTGGAGGAGGTTTTGGGTGAAACGATGATACCTCTCAAACAACAATGAAACGCTTCATCACCTACCGCTATTGATCCCACGAGACTAGACTTATTGAAGCGTTCGTTCTCTCGTCTTTCTCAGAGAAGGGAAGTGCGTCCATCTCTCTTGCAATCTAGTTTCCCTTGAACTATTAGGGCTCATTGTGCACCGTCGATTAGGCTTAGACCACTGCAACCTCCTCTGGTCGAGATTGACACTTTGGTCAGGGTTCTACGCAATATGTGATATGGATCGACAAGGGTCCGTCTTCAAATGCGAGAGATCAACGTTTTGTAAGCGCATACATGTTTGCACTTGGATTTGCCAGGTTGCAGGTCGATACAAGGGTGTTGGAGTCCAATGCACAACGAAAGCAAGAAGAATTCCCAATAATCCCTGACCAATGAATCATCAAAAATCTCGACGCACATACTGTATGTTGGTGAGTGCGTAATTAATTAATCGATGTCGCTAAACTGGGCAATTAATAAAATGGAGTTACACTAATGTGAGTTGAAGAGATATACAATTAATTAATTAATCACTACGAGAATTCAATTGTGCGTAGGGCTTCTAGAATCAACGATGAGGAAGACAAAGTAGAATTTCAACAATGGCTGGCGCCTATGCCAGAGTCACTGACCAATGATCTCGCTCGACACCAATAAAGACGTCGTCTCCAATCATTGATTACAAGAGTGAAGCGTGGCATTACAATGTCTCTATTGTGAGCATGCTAGCCACCTCTCGTATAACACCCCTTCAATTCAACATTAGATGATGGTGGCAACCTCTTCAAAAAAGTCTACAAACTTGCTCCCCCCACCAAATTATTTTCCTTTATTATACAAAAGTATTTTCCGCGAGATGTTTATTGTACAAATGCCTGGTGCCTCGTGCCACGCGAATGCTTATGGGAACCCGAATATCTATTTTTTTTTTCTTATACAGTCTATAGCAATAATAACAATAGTAACGGCGCATCCTTTATTTTACGCCATGTTTATCATTTAGCATATACAAGGCATCATCTGAGTAAATTCGAATAAAAGATTAGGCAGTATTGTTCATGCAAGATGCAGATCATCATCTTAAGAAATCGTGTAGCGGTTTACCGAATTCAACCTTGAGATCTCATCAACCAACTAAAAACAAAAACAACAAAAAAAAGAAACCATAACCCGACATTTCTAACCAACAAAACATTGGCGATGATTGTTCAGGATGAAAACGTGAAGCCGGCAAAGAAGATGACTCGTCAAACCTGCGAGATCTGATGGCTTCATCTCTCTCGTGATAATTCGCCCGAGGTTCGATTTTTGGATGCACTTCTCCGCAAAACCAATAACATACTATACTGTAAATCCATAATCGACAAATGAATGAATAAACAAGTGATAAATAAATAAATAAATAAAATAAATGAATGATATTACTATTATTAGGTTGACTGCGGTACATCTGGTCGCTATGTGGCATGACACCGCCGGGGTACCGAAAAATGTGAAATGCAATTATTCTCTCATCACAACGAGATCGCATGATGGTATTGTATGAACCAGATTTCCTTCGATCGCGAAGCGTGAAACGTGATTGGACCACTGACCTCTCAAAATTACTTCATTCAGATAACTTTGGTTAGCACACCCACTCACCCCATGCAATTATCAATGCAGATATGACATGATCAGATAGTCGTGTATACCCTGCGCATTCGCAGTGGTGCGTTATTTTCAAATGCCTCCATCTCGGCATCCCGGATTGTTTCATATTGCGTTATTCTTTGTTCACCAGTGATATAGAATCTCGGAATCCATCTAAAGACATCAATTCCACCGATCGCGACTGTCCATTCTTCGGCTTTCCCGTCACCAATTCTTCACCGTCCTACTACTGTATAGAAAGGATCTTCCATATTTAGGCACAAATATAGATACGACAATCGGTAGGATATCCAGTTTAAATACCGGTTGGGTATTTTTTCATTTCACAAGCCACATATTACAACGCCAGCGCAATAACACTCCGCTTCCGCGAAATTTTATTATCCAAACAAAGCTCTCGATGGTAGATGTGCACACGCAAAACAAAACATTCATGCAAGCCAAAAGCCACCTCGACATCAATATGGGATGAAAAAAAAAAAAAAAATAATCATAATCATAATAATAAAAATCACATCAGTGTAATTCTGCAGCACATTAGAACATAAGTGCGTCATTGGTAGTAATCACATTTCAACACGAGGGTGACACTAATTTATTGCACAAATTAACGCCATCCAGTCACATTCCCGTAATTGAACCAGCGTCGTACGATAAATTTTGCGGGGTAATGTTTGTTACCTGACCTTCCCTGAGAATTCATTCCGTTTTAGTCACGTATGACCAACCTTCAAGGAAAACTAGATCCATCCAAAGCATTCCACTGTATATTAAGACATACAATAACCGTACCCGTTTCCGGCACACCACTTAAAATAAAATAATAAAATAGTGATAATAATAAAAATTTTTTTCTTTTGTTTACATTAAATGAAGTCATCCAAAGGAAACGCCATGATAGAGAACATCTTGAGAGAATGTTCGTAACCCAAACAAACGACTCGATTGGTGGTCGTGAAGGGTGCGTAGATACGCACCTACAATATGTGAGACTTTGGTGTGTGTGGGGTAAACTGTTTGTTGACGTTGATCCTTCTTATCACTTCTCTACGATTAGTGTGGGGTAAAGGTTTGTTGATTGCTTATTTTTTCATTAAAATTAATTGTCCATTTCAATTGTCAGTGAATTTAAATTGTGTACATCATTCGATTAGATTCTCGACCGTCTCGTGATCACTCCTTTACCTTCGCGGGACGTCAATGTTTTGTGAATTTGACGTCGAATGTGCATCAATTACATTTACTCATCCGAAAAAAATGATCACAACTCTCGAATTGTGGAGTAGAGTCAACAACGCCCACGCAACTGTGATGCAAACAGCAGAGAATGTGAGAATTTTGTGGGGTAATGTTTGTTTTTTTTTTTTTTTCCTTTCCCTTCATGTTCTCTCCCGCATTTCATGTGCTATATGTACTGTACCTTGTGATCATCGGGTGTGTTGAGGAAATAGATTACTAGACCAGACGCTGTAAGAATAAAACAAAAAAAAAAATGCGGGGTAAATGTTTATTGCTTCCTGTGCCTTTTGGCCTCAATATCATCCATTCATTCATCCCATTCTTATGTCATTGCACATCGCTAAATGACGTAAATGGAATGACCTCTGTGGGGAAATACTTTCTTTCTTGATCGGGAGGACGGGGGATCTTTGCGGGGTAAAAGTGTTTGTAGCCATATTTTTCTTATTCGACAAAGATTAAAGTTTACGTTGGCTGCCGAAAGGTGTCTTATACAGCGTGTGTGTGTACTGTAATGCGTATACGCCAATATCTCGGAGTTCAACGAATCGTGAATCGTCATGCATATATCCACACCTATAGTACGTAACGGATGTCCTTCTTTTTACTTTGCGAGTTTAGTTTGTTCGACAATGATATAATGATCACCAATTTTCCCTGACGAAACATTGTTCGTTACGCCATTGTGTTGAAGCGGATGGTGTCTCCCACGAGGAGATTTTGTGGGTAATGTTTGTTGACGTTGACTTTAATTCTTTCGCATCCGTATCCGTATCGTTGCATATCGGCGAATGCTCTCATTGTCGGACAAGAGAACTTCCACAAACGGCCATCCATGGTTCGTTTGCTCAATGAGAAAAGAAAAGGGAAACTTACCTTTTGTCACGTGTGCATGGTGACGCCGCGGAAGGTAGCGTGAGGCGTTCTGCAAATTTTTCTCGAAATTCAAGCACGTGCCAACCTATTTTTACCATGGAGCGTATAACAATAAAATTCTTTATTATACTGAATTAACGATACTACATAATATACTGTACTGTACATTCGGTATAAACGGGTAATTTTCTCATCTCTTTTTGATTCAATAGATGACCGTAACAATAAACAAGCCCCGTAAGAATGACGCGCGAAAATGTCCAATGAATCGTTGATTGTTGTCGCGCGAGCGACATGCAGCATTAGGTTAAAGGAGTGCTGCATGTCTTGGATGTGTGTGCGATACAAGGAATCAATTACCGCCCTCTCATTAATCCCTTTAGATTTCATTTTACTTTCGTTCATTCATTCGCCCCCCTAAATGACCTAAAATTTAGTGATTATTATTATTATTATTATTATTATCATTTCGATTCATAAATCAAAACGTTAGATACAATTCTAGTCTCATTCGCCTTTGAAAAATGGGAATATATATATATATATATTTTTTATAGAGAACCGTGAACGTGCATGTCGCCGAAAATCACACTGTTTACTAATCGATGGCAGGCTGCCCGCCGCACTGCACCACATCACGCCACGGGTTCCAACAATTGAGCTGCCCACGTTCTTCCTGTAAGGATCATACTATGTGTGTGATGTAATGTAAGAGTCAGCTCGCTGATTACTCATTCTGGTATAAACTCACATTAATAATATTCATGATCGAATTTAGGTGTCAATCGCACTCTCGGAAAATTACATCAGAGGAATTTTTGTGCGCCATTTGTATCACGGTTTATGACCATTTATGTATGGTAATTGATATTCTCGTGTGCGCGCACATTCAAGAATCTGAAACATTCCAAGAATCTTTTGACGGTCACTCTCATTGATCCTAATGTCTTAACCAACTGTGTTTCATTTAACACCAACCGAAATTAGAAGTTCTTTCTCACGTTACGGACACTCAAAAGGCTGTGGTTAAAATGAGTCTCTTAAAGATTTCATTCTACTAATATCATGTTTCGATCATTGATCGTCACGGGCCGTCAGGGAAAAACTCCTGAGAGTCTAGTCCCCCAAGACCGGCTGCTCTTTGTGTAAATCAAAAAATAACAATAACAATAATAATGATAATGACAATTTCATCGAAAATAACGTGTGATAAAAGTTATGTTCGCCGTCGATCTTTTGGCAGAAGAT